CTGGGGCCCAACGATATTCATTAATAGGGTAATTGGGGGTCGATCGGAAATCCTTTGCCGGATACAAACGCCTCCAAAATTGCACTTTTCCAAGAAACGAATCTACGAGTAAATAAGACCGTCCAAGTTTGTTTCCCCGTCTTTGCGCTTCAAAAATGCAAGGCGCAATTTAAGAACTAACCGTAGTATTGGAGATCCGGGGGTCTGGGAAACATATTTCTTAATAGGGTAGATTTATGGATACAGGCAAGGGGTTAGATGTCATCTGGTTCCTGTTGCTGCGACTTTCCAGAAGCAACGTAGCACCTGGATGTCTCTAGGCAGAGAATAAACAAATATTCGAGATGTAGGTCTTGTATCTATCCTGCAAAAGGAAGCAGCCTGGTTCAAGTGAACGCAACTCTGCATCATGCCTTGAACTGGATAAACTATCGAGCAAAGCCCTTGTTGCAATTGATTAATTAAGATGTGTGGTATGACTGGGCTGTTCGCAGAGCTCGCACTGCTCTTCCAGAGGCTGGGTTTTTTGAAGCCCACCAAATTCCAGTGATCCCCAACGAGTCTGAAATTCAGAAATGGTAGGTGGGCGTACATCTCAACGAACATAATGCCCACAAACAGGGTGCCGAATCCAAATGTATACCCAACTCTAAGGGTCCAAGTACCTTGCAAGGATGTACTTTGGCTCTGTTGTGACCCAAAGTACATCCTTAGAAGGTTATCGCGCCGACTGGCCCATGGATACGCCCCAGAGAGCGTCTTGCTACTCAGTCAGTACTCTTGCAATAAGGCCCGGGCATTGAACGACTTCACCTGAACGCCAGGGTGCTGCAAACAAGCGTTGGCTGCCTTTTTTAAACACCGAAAAAGGCTAGCCTCAAAACAACAGGCTCGACGGCTGGCCAAAATGATGTGTTTCTTGGTACATGTTGAAAAGAGAAAGCCAGAGGTGAACAATCTCAAGAGTAAAAGTTGTGCGGTGAGAACAACACCGTCACAAAACAATGTGAGTGATGCCGATCATCCAAAGCAAAACAATGTGTTGCCAAATTAGCTTGTCCTCTCAGTACGTCTCATTTGCCTGGTGGTTGGTTGTGGTGCAAGGAACCCTGCCCTGTGCAACATCGACTGCAAAATTGTGATCTGCCTCTGATACCACATTTCTGTGCAGGCTGGACAAGGGTTGGCATAACTGATGGAAAGTCCTTGTGTCCAACTTGGCAGGCTCATTTATCACATGTTTGGGGGGACCCCTATGGCTTTAGGTGATCAAAAGGTTGCTGTGACTGGCTTCACGGCGCGGACCATTGTGGCAAGTGGGTAGCCCTGCCATTAAGACAATGGTCGTCCCTCACAGGAAGAGACTGGCCAAACGATTGACAAAGCCATGTGGGTTCATGGCCATATTGCTCAGAGTTCCAACCTGCCATGACTGGCGGCTTTCAGCACTAGACATTGACATATTGGCGCAGCGTTGCCTTCGCAGCGGCCCTGGTTAGCTTCTCCTGCGTTTCAAACTGGCAAGCCTCTGCCACTACCTAGCTCCAAGCTAGTCTTAGCTTAGGCATCAGTGCTCGAGAATTCACATTTACAAGCAGCGTTGTCAATTGTGAAACTGCGTACATCAACGGGAAGCTTGCTCAAAGCAATGCCTGTCAACTTGTGGGCCTCATTGGCTAGCAGCAAGCAGACCCTGTAACCCAATTTAGAGCAAGCACAACACAAGGCAGGTTGGACAAATGGGGGTGTTCCAAAATACTGTATTGGAACCCCCATCGTGGCAATGTCTCGCAAAAGGGAACCCTGTTGGCTTCGTTTAGAGAGAACACAAACTAGCTAAGCGTTCACCTGCAAGGGGCACTAATTTTGAAGAAAAACACATCTGCACCAATTGCAAGAATTTACAAACTGGAGCTTAGCGATACCTCAGTTAGGAATGTGCGTGAACTCGTTTCCTGGTGAGCTTGCTCGTGCTACCGCCAGGTGAGCTCGCCATGATTCTGACCCAAAACCATACGTAGCCACAGACAAATGTCGCCTACCCTACTGGACAAGGGAAACTGAGTTCGTCCCTGGTCTTTGTTAGATACTGATTGCGTCCCCCCAAGCCCCTCACAACTTGACTGCGGGCTTTGAGAACCCGCCCCCGGCTGTGGCCGCTGCTTCTTGCCGAGGGGAAAGCGCCGCAGCATTCCTGAAACAGAGCGTTCAGTCTGGCGAAGGCAATTTCCATATATTGGACCATGCAGGGCGGGAACATAATTACATCGTATTTGCTCTTTCCTCTGAATCCCTGATATGGCAAACTGGGGTCTCATCGAGAAAAAGACTAGGGCATGTTGCAAGACATGCTGTGGAGACTGCTGAAAGCGGACTTTGCGGGGATGTCCATCCATAATTTGCACGTGGCGAATCCGAATATGCGAGAAAGGAATCCTTCACCGACAATGGTATGTGTTTCCCAGGCAAGATTCACACGTTGTGGGCAAGAATCAGATCTTGCCAGACAGGTTGAAAAGGGCGTGAGGCCAGTTTGGACAAGGAACATTGAAGAGCTTCTTGACTATAGGACAACAGCGCGTGAGCATCTGGACCATAGCCGCGAGCTCTCCAGCTTTCCCAGCGAAGCAGTGATGCGTGTGCAGAAAGCGTGCAAGAAGGCGACTAGGTGGAACCATACAGAGTAAAGCGGCATCGGCTTACTATGACTTGCGTGCTCTTACCACTTTAAGTGCTGGTCTGCAAGCAACAATAATATGCAAAGAGTCTTCTCGTGCCCTGCTTTTGCAACATATTCACCTGTGTCTCTTTGAACAATGGTTGGCTACTGCCTTGGGACTGTGCTAGGCATACAGCCGTCGCTGCTCAGTGACCGATGGATATGGCCTGCCAAGACCGCTTCATGTGAGCTCTGTTGAAAACAACACCAACACGGACGATACGAATGGAACAAGTCATGTCAAATCCCGCCAAGGTTTGCCCCCACAAATACAGACACTTTGGTGCGCATGCCCTCGAAACAACAACACTTGCTTTCATGTCTTTTGATCATGGACTTGAATGCACAAACGTGGTCGGCAAACAGGATTCCCGGCAAGAGCTGAACGATTAGTCGGCAACTTGTTCATGTCATCACAAAAGTCTGCGAAGACCATCCTAGCAATCCAAAGTAGCTGTGTGTTGTCATGTGGCTGTCTCAAAAGAATCAGCCATGCGCCGCCCACCAAGCAGGACGAATCCTCACGACTCACCTCCTGGGTTGATTGGCCAAACAAAGTTTAAAACTTGTTGCTTGCCACTAAAATGGTCTTCCCAGAAAGTACAAGGTCTATCAACTCAGGGGTGTGAGCAAACACTCTCTCCCAAGAAATCCTTATGCCCTGCCTTGGCAAGGCCTTGACGACCAGGCCATTGGTTCTCATGCTGCTGCGCACAATGCCAACAACAAACAGCCAAGCTGAATAGTCAATGGCCCACCACTTCAAGGTTTAACAGACCTTGGGTGGACCAAGGAGAGCTAGTCGAATTACACAATGGCATGGCGCTGAGTTTGCCGCTGTCCGGCCCGGAGTCTGGCTCGATAAACACGGATTGCACATCAAAATGTTGAGACTATTTATGTGACTGCAGGGTGACCTTTCGCCTTGTCCACCAAATGCAGCCTCAGCCGAAACATGGATGGAAGGACTCGTGCACCTTCAACATGTCACAAGAACATGCGCATCAGCTCATACAAGCAAGCCAGCGCACTTCTGGTATCATTTCTGGAAGTTCACGACTTGAAGCTCAGCAGGCTATCAAGTATCCAAAGTAAATCTTCTGAATTCACATGGCAAAATAACCTTTTTGCGACCTATTCACAACATCTGTATTACTTCAATTGCGCGACTTCTTCCACTTTTGAGTCACATGAGCTGTCCACAACCTGCAACCCTTTGATTGCCGGTTAACCAAATTTAGAAGACCGCATCTATTGTCTGATGTCAAAGGCAGCATCTCCACTGATGGAATTGCATTCACAACAATTAACAGACCTAAATACTGTGGCTGACCCTAAACTGATGCTTGAAAGAGTGTTTCGGAAGGACCTATGCTGACGAAAGCACCCCCAACTACCAATTGAAGCCAAAACAAGAATTCGCGAGATCCTGACAAGTGAATGAACCAACAAGTTTGGGTAGAAGGACAAGCAACATTCTTTGCTTCTTGTCCACAAATGCTCTTGCATATGGACAATGAGCGCGCATGTGCGAGGCGTGCAGGCAACTCCACTGGTTGTTGACACGTGTCATGGCTGTGCGGCTGTGCTCTTTAGAACAAACGTCGCCTAGTCAAAACCCAAATGTGTTGTAGCCTGCTACTTGCGATTCCCACGGAGCGCAAGAAACCAGAATTGACGAACCAAAGGGAGGTGTCATCACCACATATGTTGTGGCTCTTCATGAGTTGTCCCGACACACCACCAATCCCAGGGTCTCCTAACTTGGAAGCTTTCCCATGGGCTTCAATGGATCCGCATGGGTGGTTCGTTGGCGAGCCCCAAAGGAGTGCCATTCACCTCCAGGTCACACATTCAAACCCTTGGACGTACAATCTTGCAAAAACTAAAGAACTTCAGGCCTCAAAAGTCTTACATGGACGCAATTGATCCATGGAAGTAGAAATTCTTCAAATCTAAAAGCCCGCCGCACATGATCCTGGGGAATGTTAGCCCGTATGCGGGGACATAAACTGTAAACAATGTTGTGTCTTGATCCATCTAAGTTCTTCTCTCATATTTGCTTCTAGGTCTTCTTGTTCTGGACGACCGCCAGCGTACCAGCTGTGCGCTGGCTGACGCGCGGCAGTACAAACACAAGACACGGGGAGGAGGCTGGCCACCCCAGTTTGAATGTATGAACTGTTGGTGAGCGTATCCCGCCGCGAGCTTTAACACGGCCCTGATAGCTGACACTTGACCTTCGCCTCGATCTGATGGAGCAAGGCTACCGCTCCCTTTTCTCCGACTCACATCTTCGTGCCATCAAAGAATTTGCCAATCTTGGGGATGCCCAAGCCGAGGTAGACCTTGAGAGCATCATTGCCCCAAACTGAAAGTGTGTATGTTGATAGTACCCAGCTTGGGCTGCTGTAAAGGGGAACTAGGCATGGGCTTCAGTTCGGGTTCGCGTGTTCTGTGATAGGGCCACGACTGGCAATCGTCCGTGTATGTCCACCCATCTTGGAAAACACATACCCAGGTGAGCCTGAACACAACGTTGCTCGAGCGGAAAGAAGCCTGCCGTCAAGTGCCTTATGAGCCGAAGCCTGCAAACACCCAATAGAGGTTAGCTAGCAAGCAGCGGTACCCAAAGGCTGGCAGGACTCAAATGGACTGATCACCTTGTTCCCACCAAGAACTGCACCTGACATATTTGTTCTGCGCAACAGTAACTGGGGGACAACCCTATGAGCCTATGCCTTGTTTGACAGTCTCAAAGTAGATGTGGGCAAAACAGTGCCCTCAAAACAAAGACAAGCCCACGCATGTGTCAAAGTGCGGCCTACTTTCGGTGTCCTGTGAAAACAAAGGAAAAACGAAAAGGATACTCAAGGAGAATACACCAATGGGAAGGCGTATCCAGTGAAGCTTGCAGCCAGGTCGCACGATCAGATTCGTTCCGGACCTGCACGGGTCCAATAGACCCAGGAAGACATCCTCATAAAACTGCTCTTGCCATCCCCTGAAAATAGCTCGAGCTTTGGCTTACCTTCGCATTTTTCAAGAAGATGCGCTCTGATGCGCTCGGGGGGCGGGGGTGGGGTTGGAGGGTTCGCCCGTGAAATCAGCGAACCGAAATGCGACACTGCGCTGGCTTCCAAGTCGTAGACAGGAACAACAGCAGCTGTCACCAACCTCAGCTTTTCATCCCAAGTAAACTTTAGTTAAACGGAACTACATTTGCTTTAGCATATCGCTCATGTTTAGTAAATCTGCAAATAACATTGCAAAATAACATTATCAAACAGATCCCATTCAGCATGCCTTAAACATGACCCCTTTGACCTGCTCCATTTCCAACACCTGTGTAAGACACTGCATGATTACATCAAGGACGGAACTTTGAAAGGACACATTTTGCTTGTTCCCACAGTGAAAAAGGTCTAAGAAAACGTACGAAACACACCCAAAGGACACTCCTCTCCCCAGAAATAGCAGGAATGGAACATTAAATGCTTTTCACGCAAGGCGAGGTTTGGGCAACAGGCGCTTTGTAAAGTCGGTTCTATGTGGGGAACTGCCTATCTCAAGAATTGAATGTTCCCTCTCATGTCCCCAGCAAAGCCAAGAGTTGCACATCAAACGCAGGGTTCTCCATCAACGCGCAAGCCGTCAACCACCAAATCAATTGGGAGTCGGCTCCGGCATGTCACTTTTGTCTTCCTGGCAAGGCTGGATCTGGGACAACCAAATCAGCATCGAGGGCAATACCTTGGGCATCCTTAGGCTGTTCATGGTCTCTTGGACGTCTCTCTCAGTAGCTCAGAGTTCCTCCCTATGTTCAGAGGATTACCGGCAAATTTACTACCCCCCAAAGCGGATTCAGCCAAGAATGACTGCTTGAATCAGGAAGGGCTTTGAGCTTCAGTTTTTCAATGTCTACCCACAATCCCATGACGCTGGATTTGAATTTGGTAGTCAAAAGCGGAACCAGCAAACGGGGAAATATGCCCGCGCTTGTTGCAAACATTTTAGAAGCGTGATTGACAAATTTATGCCAAACACCGCTAAGCACGGGAAAACCAAAACAGCACAGAAACCAGTGGTGCATGGGGGCGGAATTCTGCCCTGCCCTAAACTACCAAACAGACATGGGCAGTTGCCGTGTTTGAGCACTGTGCTAGTGTGTTACACCCTCAACAATGACCTTCCGAAACCTGCAGACTGCGGGAGACGTTGTCAGGACACGCAGCTGACATAGCTGGAAATTCAAAGCAAAACACTAGGTGCCCTCCACTAGAACCAACAAAATAAGCATAAATCAATAGAAGCAACTGCCAGGAATGTTGGGGAGACAGACCAGTATCCAAAAACATGTTTCCATGTTGGTTGGTTTAAAGCCCACAGGAAGTCCTAAGCCTTGAAAGCTAACGTCTGAAACGCCTGCGGCAAAAATCATTGCGAGTTCCTTCAGCTCCCGATCAGTTTGCAAGTTTCATCACACCCAAACCCTGCCAGCCAGCGGCCATGGGCAAAACCGAAAAACCATCCAAAGTGGGGCCAGGTGTGCAAAACGGGTTGGCCAATCCTGGATTCCTGGCTCAGTAGCCAGAAAGCGTCAGTAAGTCATCAGCAACTTCTCAGATTTGTTGGTTTCTGCTTGGCTTCCAACTTCAAACCATCTACAAAGTGGTTTGTGTCCTAACAGGAGCTGGCGCGCCGGTTCCAGCCTCTTGCACGCTGGAGCGGATCTCTTGGGCCTTCCTCAGCAAAGGAAACTGTCTCTCGGAGGGGGAGTAAGTGTGACACGTCCTTGCCATTTGTTTTCCTGGGCCGATTTCCGCCGATTATAGGCCTATCCTCAAGCAGCTAAGACCCAAGGCTCTCCAGCATTGCTCCGCAAAACCAATGGCCGACCACATAGCTCGTATGCATTGTATCGCTTCTTCTATGCTGAACAAGTTTTGAGAGCAAGAGTGGAAAACAATAGAAACATAATCCTGCTGGCGCAACACATGCTGCAAGTTCAGCATTTCAAACACATGCAACAAAATCCGAGTCGATAGTTCAATGTGGCAGCATGGACTATGTTGCGTAGCAACACGCGCAAATCTGCGTTGTGTTCTGTGCTCTCTCCATACGACCAGCATCAACTGCATCCAGGCTGACACAAAGAAACTTGGTGCGACACTTGAAGCTTAAGAGCATGGCAGGATACTGTGCCTCTACAATTTTAAGGGCAGTCAGGCTGATTAGTATTGAGCAAGACTATGTAGAACTCACTTGCCCCATTGATATGTCTTCTAACTTTGAGCTGGGTATGCAGGGGGAACTGGATATCCCTGTAACCTTTGCAATTGAATCTCGGGTTTTTGTCGGGGAAGTAAGGGACCTCTATCAGAACAAATCACTTGCGCCTGTCAGACATCTAGGGTAGCTCTCCTGTTCCCCACGGTTTCCTGAGACCTCGGCCGGGCGGATAAAGTGGCCTTCTCAGCAGCGTCCTGCGGAAGTTTCCAATTACCACGCAACCCCAGATGATTTCAGCTGAAACTGAGAGTGGCGGGAAATCGGGGACCACACCTGTTAAGATCCCCTCTCCTGAATCTGCCACAGGTTCTGTCTCACTCTTTCTAATCGGAAACCTGCTGGAAAGCAGCAGAATAATTGAGGGGCCCGCTGCATGTGAGGCAATCCATGCCCCCAAATGGCGATACAACAGGAACTTGAAGGCCCAAAACGAGATCGTGTGTCTGGCCTTGAAGTCATTACGAGAGCTGTTTTCATCAAACGTGTCAGCACTGACTAGAATGAACCAGACGTTACGGTATGTAGTCGGTTGGGGTTGATATATCATTGGCAATGGCAGGCAGCAAAGCATAACGATGACACCCAAATGCGCAAAGTTACGAGGCAGCTACAAAACTAGCGGGCGAACTTCCCATAGAAAAGGAGAGTACTGCAGACCCGGCCGTATATGTATCTACACATGTGTTATATACATTATATGCTAAATCTCGACTGTTGAGATGTACCTACGGTCAAACTAATGAAGCATGATCAACCACAAATCCAACTTGCAAAGTAACTCCGGCAGGTCAGCAAACTATCGATTGGTCACGTCTTCGTGAAACATGTTGATTGGCGAACATGCTAAGGAACAACTTACTTCTAGACTATCACAGGTTGCTGAAAATTCCCCCACAAAGTCTTGGAGCTAAAACCAGGACTCACCGAAGTGAGGCTGTCCCGTCGTGCCTGCGCCTGGCTAACACTGCGCAGCGCCTCTCAGGATTCGCGAGATCCCCGTCAAATAACCAGGCCCGCTGGGCCACCGGAAGGACTTTGAGATAAGGGTTTCTCTCCCAACGGCAAATGGAACCCCCACAAGTGGTTTCCTTTGCCCCGCTTAGTGCCTTCAAACAACTTGACCAAGGCAGCCCCAAATGACACATGGTATCCAATCCCAGAAACCCAAGTTGGACTTGTTGCAAATTCGAGGTGCGAGTGTAGCAACAAGCGTGCATGATAGACTCGTGTTGAGAGGCTCCGACTGTGCTTTTCTCACGATCTTGCCCTACCTGCTGTCACATGTCTTGCACTCTCAGCCTTTCCAGGGCTCAGGGCACTTCAAAAGGCCCACCAACCCTCCCTCCGCCGCCTTTGTGCGATTGCGCACAGTCGGAGGCAACAGTCTTCAGATGTGCTTCAAATGTGTCTCTCTCAAAGTCACAATAGTAAAAACCATCACGTGGACGAGCGAGGCACCCCATTTGAGGAAGACACACAAAAAATAGATCCCCCAAGGAGCTGGTTTAGGGATCCGATCGCGGTTAGAGTTTCCAGCGCAGCCGGCAACCCTTTCTGGATTCTGAATGTGACACATTTGAAAACTTAAAGCCTTTGTTTAGCTCTTCAAAACATTACCGTGCCTCTATTTGCCCTGCTCCAAGTCAAAGACCCTGGGCAGCCTGGGCAACTCTCGCGGGATGTTCGCCCTCGCCTCCATCACTTGCAGCTGGGACATCTTGGCATCTTCCCTGGCTCTCACCTCAGCTGGAGATTGAAACGCGATTCGTGGGTCTTCGGCATTCCGGGGCCGGGGCCGCCCCAAATCAAAAATACACAAGGGGTGCTGGGTCAACATTTAACCCGCTCGGGTTTCAAGGGTTTTCCTCCTAGCAACATTTAGCAATATGCTGGGAGCGCGTACACAGTGTTTCCCGCATGACACCAGGGTCGTCACGGGGATCCGCTTCCCAAACTGCATGCGAGTTCCTCGTGCAATAAGGAGCAGGGCTCACGGCATGAACTTTGAGGCTGGAAGCGTGGCAACTTTTTCGCTGAGAACAGGGAGAGTGTATTGTTGTGGGTTCGATTTCAAGGGAAACCCAGAGAAGAAAAACAAAGGCTTTCAGGGTCCCCCCATTTTGACACATGCCCGCATGTTTTCTATAAAGCCAGAACCAAAGAACGAGTTCCTACCCGCCAGTAAAGTCGATATATATATATATAAGTACATAGAAATGACAATAAGATGGCACATTGGAACCCGACCCGTAAGATGGCACATGCTTTCTGACCCAGAGGTATGCCATCCTAGCGTGTACATGTTCAGTTTAGTCGGACTGGCGATACTAAACATATATACATATATATGTACACATACATATGCAACATTAACTCAATCCAGCCAACGCAAGGGTTCATGTCAATGTGAATTCAAGCAAGTGGGGTACTGCCCCTTGCTGGCCCCAAGTAGATGGCAACCTTTGCTGCAGCCAAAACAAGCCCAACCAACACTGTGGTGAAAGTGACACAGTGCGAAGAGGAACAGCCACGATTTGCAGCGGCAAGACGTTTGACACGCCATCTAAGCAGAGTTCGTTCAAAACACACCCTGGCTACTTTAATATTGAGGACTCCTTCGGCATTCACCACCCCAAAATTTCCGAAGGGAAAGGCCCAAAACACGCGGGCCCCTTCGTTTGATTCTACCAACACATGGTGATCAAGCGGTAAAACGAGTGCATATTACCAAGATCATACCTGAAGAACACAGCGTGCGGCAAATCGAGCATTGCAATTGCTGACCCGACGCGAGCAAATTAGCTTCCCTGTTGCTTGGTCTTGAACTAAAAGCAAACTAAATCGCCTCTGGCATTCGGTTTGTCGTCAAAACGTTAGGGGAAATGGAACCATTCTGTCAAACAATGCGAATGCATGGCTGGCCCAAGTTCACATATCATCTTTCATGTAAGTAAGCTCAATGGAATATTCATCGCATGATGCCAATGCGCCAAACTCAAGTGTTCGTTCAGGGTACCGCCTTGTTGTGGCATTTGCTGTGGATCCTTCAACTAGATAGTTGTAATCATTATGCGTGTAAAGAAATGACACCTATGTACGCATGCTACTTGTTTTACCAATACACAATATATATATATATATATATATATCTATACCGACATGTGGCTGCGCGGTAACCCCTGCTCAACCAGAGAATGTCAACTAGTGCTGAAATTGTTCAGAATGGATAGTTGGACCGACCTGATGCAACATATGCATTGGAGAGATGTCAAAGCAAACCAAAGCCGTCCATGACCCAAACGGAAGGACCGAACAAATTGCCTTTGGGCAGCAGAAGACCAGGTTTTCTGGTAGTGGTGGGCACGAATTAATACTGAGAGCCGCTTGCTGGAACCAAGGGGCACCGAACTCGCTTTGTTTCTTCCACGAACCCCCTACTGGTTGGTTTTGTCGGGAAACCAGAGGAGCCAACACCTTTGGGGAGCCAGCTTCCTTATTTATCATGCATGTGAAAACTCTGTTGTGCTTTCTTGAAAGAAAACAACGGCAAACGGAAGCCGAGACAAACCGACATACCCGCATGCTGTTCGATACATGCACACCAAATATGTTGATACCCCTATTTCAATTGGAGTACATTGATAAGGCAATTCTCCCGGCACAGTTCAAGTCATCATCACACCCGCATCCAGCTTGCGCCGAGACCCGTGCCCGGGCGTGGGCTGCCAACGACAGGGCGTCCAGCTCGTCTCGAGATGGCTGCAGCGGCGGCCTGGAGCTAGGTGGTTCCAAGCAAAGCCCAGCAATTTGAATCTGCAAACCAGCCGGGAAAAGCGAAAAGCGGTGGGCATTCGCGCCCAGCTGGCGCAGCCCCGCTTTTCACGTGTCACAATTCATCTGGCACGAGCATGTTTGGTGAGCAGTTTGGTGTTTCTTTGCAGGAACCTCACTCGAATTTCATTGGATGTGTATCTATATATATATAGATACGCAACCCCCCCTCCCCGCCTCCAAAACCCGCGCCTGCTGCTTGTGCAAGGGAGGTCAGGTCATGTTAGATGGATGTTACAGGGAGCGGGCTAATTTTACAAGGTTAAGACGTTGCCACCCATTTGAATAGAATTTGCTTTTGCTTTCTGAAAAATGTTTGTGGCATTCCTCCATTTACCCTTGTTCAATCATTTCATACATCTTCTGGTCATAAATTAAATCAAACTTGCTTCAACGTTTTACTGTTCATAATTGTTCGTACTAGTTTGCTTGTTCATAGTTGACTGTGAACCATCTGCGTAAGAAGCACTGGTGCAAGGGTATCAACAATAAAGCAAACAATGTCTCTTCTGCTTCGCCTACGCATCTTCGATTTCTCATCTCAACTGATGTGCAAATCCTCTTCGTCTGTCAGCTCACAAGCCCTTGGCCAATACCAAGAGATATGCTCATCATCATAATATTATTATTTTATGTATATGTATATATATATATGTGTATATTCTGTGACCAATGCCATGATGTCTGCTAAAACAACTAATTCCCCTAAACGGAAACTGTTCTGCACACAAATTGCTAAGAAACATGCAAACTCTGTTTCTTTTTCAGTGTATTATTCAATATCACAGGTTGGCGTGGACTTCTTAAAACCATGTTCTAAGGATTCATCATCCCATGTTCATATGCTGAACTATTAACCGTATTTACCGCACACAGGTCCAAAATAATAATAGGGCGCAGAACCAAAACGGAATGACTGAAAGCAAAAGCTTTAAAGCGCTTTCGGATCTAAGATGCAATTTGAATCTTGAATCCAGTATAAGGCCGCCAAATCGCTTTGAAGCACTTCTGGATCTGAACTCAAGATTCCCGGACTCTAGATCTTGAGTAAGGGCCCCCCAAAACGCTTTAAAGCGCTTTCATCCAGGTAGCTCATGGGTTCAAGATTCAAGAACAGTCCTGAAAATCTTGACTTAAATCCAAAAGTGCGTACAAGCGCTAAAGTGTTTTGGGGGGCCCATACTGGGTCCAAGATTCAAGATCTAGAGTCCTGGGAATCTTAAATCTTGAATCTTAGATCCAAAAGTGTTTCAAAGCACTTTAAAGCCTTGTCACATTTGCCTGTTTCAGGGTGATCCCTTTGTAAACTACCGAAAAGAGGACCATGTGTTGTGGCGGTCGGGGGGGGGGCGGGTCTCAAAAGGAACACGGTTTTCTGGTGGTTTCCCTGGCAACTGCCACCGCAAGGAAGTCCAAAAACGGGAAAAGGGAGATAAAGGGAGCCCTGGCGGAAGCCGGTCTGGTTTCGCGAAAGAGGCGCTCCTCTAAGAAGCAAGGAAAGATGTGCGGCAAAATCATTGCGGGGGCTAGATTCCAGGAGGGGGCCAACTAGTGCGACAAAACTTGCTCCTATCCGAACGCTAATCATGCCAGATCAACTCTGACTGCAGAAGGCCATCCATATCCAATTATAGTTAAGATGGGCCGGATGACGAATTTGCTGCGATCCGATTACTGATATCATGCCAAATCAATTGTGACTAACTAGCCGCATGAATTGTGATTCAATAGCTGCAGGTCGTTTCACCCCCACGTGAGCTCAACATAAAATAGGCAGTTTGAGTTCAGGTAAACGAAGGAAAGACTAGGTTAGTTCCGCCAGAAGCCCAAAGACTGAAGTTGAATCCAATTAGCTCACCACTTTTAATGTGTCATTGCCAGGTTGAAAAAGCTAGGCCCCAACAAACACTAAGCAGAGTGTTGGTTCTCCTCTGGCTTTTCTGAACAGGGCCCCAATTGCTTCAATGGCCAACGGCCATAATAAGAAGGAACGTGTCTTTTTTTCAGGGTTGGTCCAGGGTGAGGGCACGGAAGGGGGGGGAACTCATCAACGCCAAAAAAAAGTGGAATCTGCATCTGGAAACCTACCGTCAGTAGCAGTCGTCCTACAACGTTCAGTTTCACAATTGGAGACAGGGTAGATGCGCAGCAGCGATGAAAATACATGTGCGAGTTGGCGCCGTTTAGTTGAGAAGCACCTGGACGGACATTCGCTCGCAACTTGCATCTTACGTGTGCGTTCGAGAGAGACTTGCAACATGCGTATATGTCTTACAAACAAAAACAAGAGCTGAAGTAAGGGATTCCCAAGTGAAGGCCCTTCATCTTGGCAAGCTCGTTCCACTTCCAGGTGAGCTCACCCCAGGCAGAAATATCAAGCCTGTTGTTTTGCGCTTCCGATTGGGTTGTCCGTGGGAACCACTCAAACCTGATCCAAAGGACCAAAACCACTGGGTTCTTATCCAAGTTGCCCAGTGGCCCTGCTAGGAATTTCGAAAAACCCCTTTGGGTGGTTGACCATTATCGTTGGTGAAGGTACTGGAAGCTACTGAAGGGCGCAATCCGCAAAGCCTGGGCCGCGTGTGCAGCGGGCCCGCCAAGTTTTCCTGGGCCACCGGTTGGGCCCGGCTTCGGGCTTCGCGTTTGCCGTGCCGGATTCACGAAATGTAAAGGGACATATCGGCACGCGTCTGTTGTGTGTTGATCAAGCTAGGCGACAGAAAGTATCACTGGTATTTACTTAGGACATCGCTGACTTGCTAACAACAAACAACAGGTCAACCACATGAGAAAATCAAGTTGGTAACAGCGAGCTCGACCTGAAGTCTCTGGTTCTCACAAACTCGGGGCCTCCAAACACCCAGATCCCAAGGCACGGTGCTCGGACCATTTGTGCCCGCTGGTGCTTGCGGAAAATGGAGTGAGTCCCGCCTTGTTCACGGCTAAATGACAAGGCGACCTCATAATATGATGTCAGGTTGCATGGAACCCTTTGTTGGGATGGCAGCGCTTGGTAATCTCAACCTGGCCTTGACTGATAGCTCCCCCCCAAGGCAAGCTGGCCAAGATCCGAATTGAGCACCACAACAATATTGTCCTTGGCTTTTGTCTGGGCGGACTTGTTCAGTATTGAGCAATACCACATTGATATTGGGAAATCCGCCGACATTGCTCGGCGTGTCGGATACTTACTAGAGGATAGAGGATAACCCCCCCCCTAACCCCCCCCCCCCCGACGTCTATTACGTAGGTTTTTTGGGGGGGCGGCGGGGGGGGGCGGCGGAGGGGGGGGGGGTCCCCCACGTACCGCGCGGCAATTTGATGACGTTCCACTAAACGTAGTCTTCGGGGAGCCGGTGTCGCAAAACAGGGGTCCCAGGCTCGATTCCCCCTGCCGGCTTTTTTGCTGGCTTGGGCTTCCTGCATCCTTTTGCCGAAAATCTGGAAAAACTCAATGTTTTTGGACGTCCTCTTTGCGAAAACGCTGGAAAAACCGTGTTTTTTTTGCGGGAAATACTGGGGAGCAAAGGGGAAGTGCAAGGAGTGCAAGGATACATACATACATACATACATACATTACAGTACATTACATTACATTACATTACATTACATGACATTACATGACATTACATGACATTACATACATACATACATTACATACATACATACATGCATACATGTATGTAAGCATGCATGCATGCATGCATGCATGCATGCATGCATGCATGCATGCATGCATGCATGCATGCATGCACACATACATACATACGTACATACATTACATGCATTACATTACTTACTTACTTACTTACTTACTTACTTACTTGCTAACTTACTTACTTACTTGCTTACTTACTTACTTACTTACTTACTTACATACTCACATACATGCATACATGCATACATACATACATGCATACATACATACATACATGCATGCTTACAGACATACATACATACATACATACATACATACATACATACATACATACATACATACATTACATACATACATACATACATACATACATACATACATACATACATACATACATACATACATACATAACATACATACATACATACATACATACATACATACATACATACATACATACATACATACATACATACATACATTACATACATACATACATACATACATACATACATACATACATACATACATACATACATACATACATACATACATACATACATACATACATACATACATACATACATACATACATACATACATACATACATACATACATACATACATACATACATACATACATACATACATACATACATACATACATACATACATACATACATACATACATACATACATTACATACATACATACATTACATACATACATACATACATACATACATACATACATACATACATACATACATACATACATACATACATACATACATACATACATACATACATACATACATACATACATACATACATTACATACATACATACATACATACATACATACATACATACATACATACATACATACATACATACATACATACATACATTACATTACATTACATTACATTACATTACATTACATTACATTACATTACATTACATTACATTACATTACATTACATTACATTACATTACATTACATTACATTACATTACACATACATACATACATACATACATACATACATACATACATTACATACATACATACATACATACATACATACATTACATACATACATACATACATACATACATACATACATACATACATACATACATACATACATACATACATACATACATACATACATACATACATACATACATACATACATACATACATACATACATACATACATACATACATACATACATACATACATACATACATACATACATACATACATACATACATACATACATACATACATACATACATACATAACATACATACATACATACATACATACATACATACATACATACATACATACATACATACATACATACATACATACATACATACATACATACATACATACATACATACATACATACATACATACATACATACATACATACATACATACATACATACATACATACATACATACATTACATACATACATACATTACATACATACATACATACATACATACATACATACATACATACATACATACATACATACATACATACATACATACATTACATTACATTACATTACATTACATTACATTACATTACATTACATTACATTACATTACATACATACATTACATACATACATACATACATACATACATACATACATACATACATACATACATACATACATACATACATACATACATACATACATACATACATACATACATACATACATACATACATACATACATACATACATACATACATACATACATACATACATACATACATACATACATACATACATACATACATACATACATACATACATACATACATACATACATACATACATACATACATACATACATACATACATACATACATACATACATACATACATACATACATACATACATACATACATACATACATACACATACATACATACATACATACATACATACATACATACATACATACATACATACATACATACATACATACATACATACATACATACATACATACATACATACATACATACATACATACATACATACATACATACATACACATATACATACAACATACGTACATACATACATAATTACATACATACATACATACATTACATACATACATACATACATACATGCATACATACATACATACATACTTACTTACTTGCTTACTTATACATTACATACATACATACATACATACATACATACATACATACATACATACATACATACATACATACATACATACATACATACATACATACATACATACATACATACATACATACATACATACATACATACATACATACATACATACATACATACATACATACATACATACATACATACATACATACATACATACATACATACATACATACATACATACATACATACATTACATTACATACATACATACATACATACATACATACATACATACATACATACATACATACATACATACATACATACATACATACATACATACATACATACATACATACATACATACATACATACATACATACATACATACATACATACATACATACATACATACATACATACATACATACATACATACATACATACATACATACATACATACATACATACATACATACATACATACATACATACATACATACATACATACATACATACATACATACATACACATACATTACATTACATACATACATTACATACATACATACATACATACATACATACATACATACATACATACATACATACATACATACATACATACATACATACATACATACATACATACATACATACATACATACATACATACATACATACATACATACATACATACATACATACATACATACATACATACATACATACATACATACATACATACATACATACATACATACATACATACATACATACATACATACATACATACATACATACATACATACATACATACATACATACATACATACATACATACATACATACATACATACATACATACATACATACATACATACATACATACATACATACATTACATACATACATACATACATACATACATACATACATACATACATACATACATACATACATACATACATACATACATACATACATACATACATTACATACATTACATACATACATTACATACATACATTACATACATACATACATACATACATACATACATACATACATACATACATACATACATACATACATACATACATACATACATACATACATACATACATACATACATACATACATACATACATACATACATACACATACATACATACATACATACATACATACATACATACATACATACATACATACATACATACATACATACATACATACATACATATGTACATGCATGCATACATACGAGAGAGGGAGAGTGGGGAGAGAGAGGCTTGGGGGGATGGGGAGGATGGGAGCAGAGGGAGGGAGAGAGGACGACAGAACACACAAGGGAGACAAGGAAGAGAGGAAGAAGGAGAAAAGGGAGAGGACAATGTCGGCGGACTGAGCCGGAGGCTCTAAAGTATGTTGGAATTGTTGGATTATAGTTTCCGTGTGATTTGGTATTGCTGGAGCATCCCTTTCACAATTGTGTTTGAGGTTCCATCTAATCCAGTATTGCTGGGGCTTCCTTTTGAAACTGTCATCTAAGTTTCCATTGGATAGAGTCTTGTCAGATTTGAATGTTCATGTGATTTAGCATTGCTGCAGCTTCCCTGTCAGACTTTGACTTGAGGATCCATTTGATTTATTGTTGGATTTAAATTTCCACATAGTGGTTTAGTATTGCTAGAGCTCAACAGTGGGTTGGGCCAAGGTGGCCCAGATTAATCCAGTGGGGCCCCATTCTTTTTAGTGGGTGGGTGGGGGGTACTTCATGCGACGTGTCACACAACGAGTTTGTATATGCAACTTAACTTAATAATCCGTTCCCCCTCACAACACAGGGTCCTGCTAATAGCAAAGCTTGTATTGCCAAGTCGCCAATATTAAATTTGGTGTAGGTCTTGATGCTTCTGATTCCAAGTAGTGGCTTGTTAGGGAGCGCGCGGAAAAGGGGCAGCCTATCTGCGGACAGAAGAGGGCTGAAGAGGACAGAAGAGCAAGGAACGTGGAGACCCCTCATAATATGATTTTTCAAATTGGGGGAGGGGGGGGCGTGCTATTATTGGGGAGGGCGGCAGCTTCAGGAGTTTGCAGTGTAAGAAAGTCAAATTGTTCGGTATTCCCAACAAGAATTCATATCACCTGACAACAGGATGCAGCAGCGTGCGCAATGGCTGATGTTTCTGGAGGGCTGGAGTTTTCTTGTTGTCCCTCTCTCTGTTGTGCTTTTGGGTTTGGGGATAGCCCTCACAAATTCAGTGAGGCAATCGTCACAAATTCAGGGACGCCGCAGCGAGCAACCCAGCCTTATTTCCCAAACTGTAGGTCGGGAACCACAAACTCTCAGTAGATCTCCTGATCCCCACAAAAGTAGGCCCTTTGACACCCTGTGTGAGAAGTAAGGCACAACTAGAATCAGACGCGACTAGACCCCTTCTTCAAGAGTATTCCCCTTACTTCCTCGGAAAAGGGCTGGTGACTTGGTCCCCCTCCCTTTCTGCAATAAAGACCAAAAAAACACTGCCACATCAACACAACCGTTGTATCTCCATCCGGTTTCCTTTTCGCGGACATGGACCAGAGACCTGCCAGGCGTCCATCTCTGCCGGCGGCACAGGGCCCATCGAGCCCATGCCCATCCCCCCCATCGGCATGGCGAAGGCCGGCGGCCACTTCGGCCGCGTGGTGGCAAGAAGTTGGGTTGGCCAGGCTAAAGGTAGGTGAAATACGAGCAAAGTGGAACCGAACACGTTCCCCCAAACCGAAGGGAGGTGCAACAAGAGCAAAGTGGAAGTGAATCGGTCATATGCAAACGGCCCTTTGAGGCCACAGTGAGTATGTGACCAACATAACAAAGAACGAGCAGTGGATCAGGCAATGAAAGCCATGCAATATTATGTCTTAGATGGTGTATATAAAATCTAATAGTATATTGTATATGCATATACAAATCATACGGCCCGGTCATTCAGGCGGCACAGAATTATCTGTAACAACCCCCACATGGGTCTTTCCGTGCACAAGGTAGGCGACCATCTGCAAGTTGGACCATGTCACTAGCCATATCATCTAGTCTGCAGGCTTCCTTGGACCAAGCTGAGTTGAACCCATGCAGTGCAAACATCAACCAGAATGGGAAACACCGGGACGATGTCAGCCACGCGCAGCACACGTAGGCAGGCCAGCATCAGAGGATTTACGTAATGTGGAAACGAGAGGAAACATTTAGCACATAGACAGGTTGCTTGAGGTGTCAAACAAATAAACATCATGCAGCAATACACAAAGATAGTTGAGGCCCGCCTTGCGGCGCGCCGATGTGTGCTCCAAGCGGTGAGCTTCAAGCAACATCCTCAAACCCTTCTTGCTTAATTGATGCTAACTGAGAAAGAATCCTGAGGATGACATCAATCAAAGGACTGCCCAACACATGCATCCACTGCCACTCAAACAGGTACCTGATTGGCGCGGTCCGGACTCATCCGGAATTGGCATTGTTGCGCAACTGAGTTCCACTGCTAGCACTATTCAGCCCAAATCTCAATCGAAACAGGCTTGCAGTTTGATGCCTTTGATCCAAAATGGACCAAGTAGAAAACAGCCCCTCACAGCAGTTGGTCCCTCTTGGTTTGCCTTGCAAATAACCCTAAAAAAACAGAACCTTAGAAACACACCCATGCTCGCTGAATACAAGCTGTCCCAGATGGGGGGAAACATTTCATTTCACCAGCCCCCTGTTCAATATCTATGGTGGTTGGCAAGGCGGCATGAGCTTGTTTGGCTGTAGTCGTGGCACCTACCCATCAAAATGTGCGTACGCTCACTCCAGCAAGTTATGTTTCCGCCGATTTTCTGAGGGGAGAACGGCAGAGCTGTCGACTAGAGCTATGGCCCAGCGTGAGACACGGAGCGAATGACACCACCGCTTGCTCTTTTAGCAAGATCGGGCTTCCTTGCTGCTTGCTTTTTGCCATTGTAGCTTCTCTGTTGTGGGCGCAACAACGTCAAGAGCTTTGCACTTGTGAGTGCTCGCTTTGTTTGTTGTGTCCAGTGTCGATTTCGGATGACTCTGCAGGTCCGGTCTGATTACAGCAGGAGGGGTTCCCTTTTGGTGGGGAAATAATTTGCTTTAGAAGATTCTTCCGCTTAGTATGGCCCTTCGGATTGATGCGAAGCTCACATTTCCCACCTCATATCAGATCGCTCTCCTTGTGTGCTTTTCCAAGAAGGGTGCCAAATGAAGGATATAGGGCAACGCATTAATGGATGCCTGGCAAAAACTGCTTACCCATTCAGGACGACCAACTGCGGTGTGTCAGGAAAGCGGCAAGGATGATCGGATCGTTTCCATTGTTGTGCACTTCCCCTGGTCTGAATGCTTCACTGATAGGACAAGTTCCGACGGATTCACAAGATCGTCAAGACCTTCAAGCCACTTAGGTGGAGCCAACGGGAGCCCCTGTTCACAATGTTCACAATGGCTTGCTTGCGCGGTGGCTGACTAGACTGCCCGCCTTGAGGGGCGCCGTTGGTATGTACACAGCCCGTCCAGCATCGTGGAGGGGCTGTAAAGAAGATCTACTGAGTCTACTGTATTTTGCGGCAGGCGTCAGCCAAGCCTGTGAAGCTGGTAGTGAAATGTTATGCAACACTCCTGGTACACAGCAGTTAGTTGCAAAAGAACGTCCCACTTTCTGGTTTGGAGGGACTATGAGCCATCCCTGCCCAGCCTTTGAAACTTGACATTGGATCTAGCGTCCGCCAAAACTTAACACAGATACAAACGGAAATAATTACACCCAAGCTCAGGTTGCAACTGCAAGAAACGCTTTCCAATAGGCGGTTGTGCAAAAGTTGGTTTCCCCTAGAAATCCCCGAGGTTCAGTGGCGTCTACTACGGATCAAGGCATGGCGGAAACAAAACGCTTTGTTTGGTGCGGTGGCTACAACCACTGGAAACCAGCTCAAATCGAGATTGAATTTGCAGTACATGCCTGGCTGAGCCGTGGTAACGGGTGCCAAGGCAAAGTGTGCTATCAGCCGCAATGCCAATGTGAGCCATGGCAGTGACAGTGAATCGCTGAGGAGTGACGTGCAAAAGGCCAGCACTTGGTTGGGCTTTCGCTGACACAAATTGGGTTGGGATCCTGTTGGCTGAGTGGAAAGCACAACCCCAAAACATACACACACACAATTCAAGAAGGGAGTACAGTTGACAACATCCCAGAGCCCAAAGTGGAGGCCCTGTGCAAAACACCAACGTGCAAACTCCCCCACCAGCGCATTGAATGAGGACTTGTGTTAATTTGTGTTAATGGCCCACAACTGTAGCCAAAAAAAATCAGAATGTGATGTTGCACCTCGAATAACTATTGCACATGCAATGATATAATATAAAATAATCGTTGCCAAACGACGACCCCACACTGTTTAGGCACCTTTGACATTAACAACATGTTGCTCAATGTATCACAGGGCCCTACCCATCTCTAGCGGGCACTGTGTGGGTACCTTGCAATACGTGCTGCTAAGGTTCGTGCTTCCCAATACTACTTGCGACGAGTGTTTGCCTACCGGGTCCTTGATTGAGCAGGGTGCCCTCAACTGCTCTCGTTGTTTGGAGGGAGGACCTGAAACCAAGCGACGGCTACCATAGGGCCAAGCCTGAATTTCCTTGATCCTCACGTCGGGTTCACGGGCACCGCCCGTTTTCTTCCCCTTCAGGGTAGGTTTAGGGTCGGCTCACAGGAGTCGTAATCTGGCCAGCTGGCTACCAGGCTTGCTCGAATGAATGCTTGCATGCTTGCTCGCTTGCTCAATAGATACCCTCAGCATAAACAAAAGGAAGCAAAGCACCGAGGGGGGGGGGGGTGAGCTTCCATATTTTCTCAACTCAAGAAGCAAGTATTGATTATATTATAATCATTGCCCTGAGACTACTCAACATATCAAGCTGAAATTCACGTTTGTCCATGGCTCACAGCTCGCAGCTTAGCCGCGTGTCTTCCGGGTCAATGTGGCCAAGGTGCGTGGGCCACCCGAGATGAACTCAAATGCTGTAGCTGACGCATAATTGCGTCCTGGAGTGGCGCTCGTCCCAGAGGCAGCATGTGGCTGGCAAATGCCCCATTGGTGAATAGTCTAAGGCGTACTCTATACCCCTGATTAAAGACGCTCCTTTCCAGCCCAGATCTCAGAAAAATACAAACAACTAAATGTTAAATTACCAAAGCTATTGCCAATACTTGTGCCGGAAACCACGCATTTCTGATTGCCATTTTGAAAAAGGCAAAGTTTGACAAGCTCGTAAAGGGTTCCCCCTTCAAGGCTAGCCCCCGCGAACAACGCAAAACCTGCTCTCATTAATCAAGTCCCTCTCCGGCCCGGGAAATCCGCCGGCACTGCCGGTGTGTCTTGTGGATGTTCTTGTATGTGTAGTCTTGTTTGCGTTTTAGTGCTGTGTTGTAGATTGTTCTTTGGCGCGGATTTTTGCCTCGTCTAAACTGAAGTCACCCCCCCCCCTCCCCCCCGCTCCAACACCCAACGCACAAGCACAAGCGCAAGCAAGTAAGCGAGATCACGCGGGCTTGCTGCGCTTGCGCTTCGATTGTCTTAAGCTTAAGCACAAGCGCACGTAAGTAAGTGAGATCGCGCGTGTTTGCTTATGCTGCGCTTGCGCCTCGCTTGTCTACGCTTCAGCGGGGCGCGGGGGGGGGGAGGTGGGGGGGGAGGGAGGGGGGGAGGGGGTTCGAGCGTGGCTAAAGCTGCACTTTGGTACGGTCATCTGTCTAAGGAACTTGATGAGCCTGCGTGACTGTGCAACTGATGCTCCCAGGTTAGAAAAATTTGACAGCCTGAAGCCGCGGGAGCCGGCGGAACACGCCAACAGCGGTTAAATAAGAAAATGTAATTTTGATTTACTTTCCTATCGCAGGCCAGACAGGGAGAGGGCTAGCCAGGTCCGCATTAATCCGAGGGAGCCTCAGGGGGCCCCAAAAATCCGGTTTTGCCAAACCTTGTCGACCTTGAGAGAGGGTGTATTAATCAAGTTCTAACAAAAGGTTGTGGTTGCTTAACAACAAACATACGTGTTGTTTTGAGAAGAAACCAGGTAGCATAGTGTCAATCTCCGACCGGCCAGCCTTCTGCTCTTCCTGCTTCAATGGTGTTGCAAACAGCTGGTGTGTATACAAGGGCACAAACTTGAAAAGAAGTGCGGTGTGCTGCAATGTTGTTAGTCACCAGAGCAACTAGTTCAACCAGTAAGCAAAATCCGAGGCTTTCCCTCCTTGAAACTGAAGCGAGAATCAACATAGCCCATCTATTTCCTGCCATCAGACTTGCTGAGTCATGCAAAACCAAGTAAGCCTTTGGAGCAAATCAGGACTGCACAGCGTTGCGTCCTGCTTGTTGTTGAGCTCCTTGTTGGCCCTCTCCAGCCCTTGCGTCGGCGAATTGCTTCAAGTGAGCGGCGCCGGTTTAACCCGTTGACTTGTGCTTACATGAAAAGAATTAGCAAAAAAGGTTTACAACGGCCTTGCTCCAACCACCATGAAACCAGCTGGCAAAAACACCTGCTAGCATTTCGATTAGCGGTTTTTCTCGAATGGAAAGGACAACCACTTAACGACACTCAAACAAGACATCCAGCTTTGCCTGATGGACTGCAATCCTGTTTGAAGACGCCTCTCTGCGCCATCTCATATCCTTCTCGCGGGTTAAGCTTCTTGACTTCAGAGCAAGTAGGCGTCCGGACATTGATCCAGGCGAATCCTGTGAGCTGCAATTCAACTATTCCACAGGCCAAGAACAAATTGAGGGCAAATGGCTCGAGCTTGCTTCCTGCGAACAACTCGTGGCTTTACCTTTGTTTTAACTCATTTTGTTTCTATATGTGCAGCACAAATATCACCCGTGGGAGCCATAGTGCTTAATTTCTTCCATTTGCTCGGGTGTCATCGAGTTGGACCGGTGCTTACTTTAAACCGGCTGAGTGTTGATACAATGACCCGAGTCAAAGAATGGGAAGTAAACACCTGGCAGCAACACTCCTGCGAGTGCGCGGAAAGAACACACGCAAGCCACTTCTATAGCCCCCTGCCAAAAAAAACAAAAACGCTTGAATTCTGATTGGCTGGCTCCATGGACCTCCGGTTGGATACGCGTTTCGAAAAGCTGGCTCGGTTTGTCACCTGGCAACAACAACTTCAAGGCTCGCCTTCCTCCACAAGTATTGAAATTCGCTAGGGTCAGATCATTGAGAATCAAAGAAGGATGATCCAACAACATCTTTGGCAGGGAAATAGCGCCCCTTGGTGGTTGACAACCATCCCTACCCAGTATAAGGAAGCACGTCCTCCAGTACAAGATGCCCCTGAACACACGGTATCCCTGGGTACAGGTCAACTTTGTTGTTTGCTTTCCTTCTGCCAGAAATGATCGCATCAAATTTGGACACAACCGCGCATCATGCTCCAAAAGCAGTGGGCTCAGCCCGTGTATCACGTATGCTAGCAGAAACTCATAGAAATGGTGGCGTTTCCACCACTGTTGGCTTGAAAACAGCCTTCGCCTTCATATGGCTTCGTGCAAGCATGGGAGGCGCAGCCCCATTTCACAAGCCCCAGCGCAGTGAGACCTATCCACGAGCGCCAGTCGGCCGCGCGGAGCAAGGTCGGTCGGGACTCCGCACTGCGCGGCCCTTCACTTTGAGCTTTGGCATCAACGGCTTTGAGTCAAGTGGCCTCGGTCCCGGCCATCTCATGCTGCCTTTGCCGTGCCAGGAAACCGCCAGACCCCATTTTCAAGAGGAACGCCAAGCGCCTCCATCATGCTGGTCACGATGATGCTGCCCTGGTGCCGTGAAAACACGACCTCGTCCTTGGCCAAGCTGGCAACATTCTCCAGGAATCTACGCTGGGAAGAAAGCGCCCAGCTGCGGAAAATCCCGCAGCAGCACTCACAGCGCAGAAAGAAAGGCGGGATGCCACCCCAGCTAATGTAAATGAGCACGTCGGATACCAGAACCACATCGAAGGTCCGGGGTACATCTTGCACAGGCCACACCTCATGTAACATGTCCTGTGGCGAAACCCCAGGATTCCTCAGATTGCCCAAGTCAAACTGTGCCGCAGTGCAGATAGGGCAATTTTGCCGCGTGCTCTCTACCATTACCCGACTGATGTCAGTGCCATAGTGCTTCGCGGTTGGGTGACTCTTCAAGAGGCTAGCCAGCATAAACCCCACGTTGCATGACACGTCCAGGAGAGAGTCGTACCCTTTGCTGGACAAGTACCGGAATGTGTCTGTTTTCTCCAGTCGCTTCTGGGTGTAGTTCCAGATCCCGCCAGGATTTAGCTGCCCGTGCCGGTGAATTGAGTCCCAGATCTCTGGCGTTGGCACAAAGTAGGCCCTCCAGACACCTCCACGCCAACTGACTAAGCGATCGCCAAAACTCAGGAGAAGATACCACAAGGACATTGCACCAAGCAGACATGCCGCAGTCCGCCGGCTCAACCGGCCTGACAGCAGCCATGTGCTAAGACTGGCCATGGCAGCCCGAGATTAATATGTCACTCCCTTTCTAACATTCTTGAATCCTGGACTTTGAGTTTCCCGCGCGTGCTCTGGCAGACTTTCAACCTAGAATTACAGATGGGCCGGGCCATGTGCTTCCGTCTCACCCTAGCTTTGCCACATGTGCTTTCTTTGTGTGGCGAGCCGCTCTCCTGAATCACCATGGCTGACTTCCGTGTGCATCTACAACCTAAACCCCGCATTGCCTCCGAAGCCCTTTTCTAGCTGCAAGCCCTCAGGTAAACAATCAGTGCGCAACTTTGGCGCTGACGGTCAAAGTGTTGGCTGGTCTCCCATCGCATCGACTTACTTTGGCGAACACAAATTTCTAGCCTGCTAACATGTCTGCCTCTTCGCAGCTCGCATGTTTGTCTCTCCATGTGCGTGCCTGAGGTCTGCCATTTTCTGACTGGTCCTGCCAGATCTCTAGGGGCCAGTTGTGGGCAGCTGCTAGTTTCTGCTCCCGACCGCCATGCGAGGCCGCCCAAGTGCAAAAATATCAGAGAGTGTGATTTGGCCAGCAAGTGAGGCCCGTGCGTGGGGCAAATCCTGGGGCGCCCCGCTTGTGATGGACGAGATAAGCTGCTCCATTTGCTTCGGTTTTGCCTGCGAATGGATCGCAAGGATATCACTCTCGCCACGGCAAAAAAAGTGAATCAAATCACATACAACACGCTGCATACATTAAGTCCACTCACATGTCATGGTGAAATACTGCCTCCGTTATGATGTGTTGCATTGCTGAAAGAACACTAGGGGAATACCACATGCCTCCAGCAACAATGAAATATGATTGGCTGTAGCCTAGGGGCCGTTTGAATGCTCCAAGACCCGAACTTGGGTTCACATGCAAGCAGTCAAATGTCCGCTGATGCTTGAGTGTACAGATTGCAATGATTGTGTAGACAGGTCTCCTTCCGAAACTCCATGCTTAGCCGGACGCTTTGAGCGCCACCTGCGTCAAACTGAGAAAGAGTCCCTTCAAATTCCCTGTGTAGCTTCAACCTTGATATGCATACCTTAAAGTGGCTGGCGACTGTCTGTCAGAGTACAGGATTTGGGGCACTCTCGGATTGGCACCTGTGTGTTTGCCAGATTCGAACATATCAGCGAAGAAGCAGTATTGACTTGACATGTGTGATTCTTCACACTAGTTGCAAAAACCGTAGTGCGGGTTTAACGTGTTGGTATCCTCGACATTCCCTGCTTCTGTTTTTCGTTGTGTCTGCTGGGTGTGATGGCTTTGAGGTGACGTTGTTCACGATTCATTGAGTTGCGACTTGCATTCTGAACATGCAAAGATCATTGGATTGTTTTGCCTCGTGTCGTCATTGGGCAACGTGCATTTTTCACATTCTTTCACCCAGGTTCACGTTCAATTTCAGACACGCCCAGAAAATCCCCCCATGCCCAACACTAACACGCCCACACCCCTCGTTCTACTGACGCGACTGGGAAGCCCGCACATGCCTCATCATGGCAAAACATGTACCGGGTATCTAGGACAAGGAAACCCCCGAACACGCAACGTGCCGACAACGATTGAAGTTCCCGACCAATGATTGTGAGCCCTGCCTGCTCACAGTGTGACTACTGCGGGGGTAGGCGCTGGGCAGGAAACATACGTATGTATGTACGCATGTAGGATAGGTTAGGTTTGGTTAGGTCAGGTCAGCTTAGGCTAGGTAGGTAGGTGTGTATTTGTATCAAGTCCTCTTCTGCGGGAGAGTTTATGTTTGCACCAAAGTGTGGTTGACACATGTGAAATCTCATCCCTCTGCAGGGCCCTGCACATAACAACTCTTTGGGATCTTGACAAAAATCATGGACAAGCAGTGCCTGAATTCAGGTTGATGCGCTTTCGACTGAGTTCAGGGCTCCACACCATCCCAGTTTCAACCAGTGACCCTCGCGACAAGATTGGAACCCTGTTTGGGGTTGACAATGTTTCAGGTGCAACTGGACAACTGGCCCCTCATATCCGGTACGCCTGCGCCACTTCCATCGAGGACTCAGACGCCTCAGAAGTAAAGGTTGCAGCCTTCTTCGCGGTTGTGTTTGAGGACACCCCTTCCTCTACGCGCGTGAAATAGGTAGATAAGAATGGCCCAGGCACAAGTTCCGAAGGTTTCTGACACCGTATCATGAGACGGTCGCAGCAACAACTTGGAGGGACGGCGAGCTTTTTGGCCTGAGGGAAGCCATGTCCAACAACCAAACGAGTACCTGCACTTTTGTTGGCAGGTTCCAGCATTCGTGAAAAATGCCTTGGACTAGACTATCACCACCGGGAAAAACAGTAAACAACATGCTGCCAACGTGTTGCAATGGTTGCAAAACAGTATAGGATCCTTGCCAAAGTTGGCATTCTCGAGACGGGTGCCGGATCAAAAAATACTTTGCGGGATCAAACAGAAATTGTCGACACCCAGATCAATAAACAAAACATATGTACAGCTGGATCAAAAACAAATTATCTCGCCCGGGGGTGCCAAAACGCTATAACTACATCATCTTCAGGCAACAGCGCGCGCATTTCACGGCTCTGCTCCAAAATAGACAGTTTTCAGCACAAGCGGCTCCAGTTCGAAAATCGCAACTTTTCAGTACAAGCGCAGTTGGCTTGGGGTGGGTTTCAAAGTTAGTCTACGGTTGGTTTAGGGTAGGTTTAGTTAGGGCGGGTTTTGAGTTCGTTTAAGTGGTTTAGGCTTGGTTTAGGGTAGGTTTAGGGCAGGTTTAGGGTGGGCTTAGAGTGGTGTAGGGTTGGTTTAGGGATGGTTTATTCTGTTTACGGCCGGCTTAAGGTTGCTTTCAAGGTTGATTTCAATAGGTGGGTTTGGCTTGGTTTGAGGCCTAGGGTGGGTTTAGGTGTGTAAGGGTTTAGGTTGGGTTCAGAGTTTTAGGTTGGTTTAGGGCTGGTTTAGGGCTGGTTTAGGGTTGGGTTGGGTTGGTTTAGGGCAGGGTGGGTTTAGGGTTGGTTAGGGAATGGGTCGGTTGGTTAGCGTGGGTTTAGGGTTGGCTGAGGTTTGGTTAGGGTTGGTTTCAGGCTGGTTTAGGTTGGCTTCGGGTTGGTTTAAGGGTGGGTATATTATTTAAGGTTTTTTGGATAGGTTTAGGGTAGGTTTAGGGTAGGTTTAGGGTGTGTTTAGGGTGAGTTTAGGATTGGTTTAGGCTTGGCGTAGGTGTGGTTTAGGGTCTGTTTAGGGTGGGTTTAGGGTTGGTGTAGTTTAGGGATTCTTTACGGATGGTGGTTTTAGGTTGGTTTAGGGTGGGTTAAGGGTGTATTTAGGCTGGTTAGGGTAGGTAGGGTAGATGTAGGATTGGTTTAGGGTACGTTTCGGGCAGGTTTAGGTTTTAGGTTGGTTTGGTTTAGGGTTTGTTTGGGGCGGGTTTAGGGTCGGTTTAGTTTAAGGTTTGTTTAGGTGGTGCTAGGTTGGCTTAGGGTAGGTGCAGGGCGGGTTTAAGGTGGAAGGTGGGTTTAGGGTGGATTTAGGTTCGTTTCGGGTGGGTTTAGTGTTTTGTTTGAGGTGGGTTTAGGGTTGGTTTCAAGCTTGGTTTGTAGGTTGGCTTTTGGTGGGTTAGGGTGGGTGTGGGTTTGGTTTAGGGTTGGTTGAGGGTAGGAGAAAAGACCAGGAGGTCAGGAGACCAAGAGACCATTAATTGAGGGGAGACCAGGAGACCAAGAGACCAGAAAAAGGAAAACAAGAGCTACAAGCAAACACTACGAAGCTAGGAGACTAGGAGAGCAGGGCGCTAGGGGAGTAGGAGACTGGAGGATTAGGAGAGCAAGAGACCAGAAGACTAGGTCTCAATCCTCTAATATTTGTTGTTTGACGCTTATTCGCCCAGGCTCCTTCTTGCTTAACATCTGCACAGCGCAGAAGATTGACCCTCCGAATGAAATGGTGGCTCTGGTGCGCTGTCCAGTACCAAGTCAAATGAAATAAAAGGCTACAAGCGGTGTCAGTTAGGGTTGTGGGGTTCAGTTGAGTTCCGACCAAGAAAACACACCATGAGTTGTGCGGATGAGGACCGCACGCCCTTTTGAAGAAGGTCGATCCAGATTGAACGCGTGGACACATTGCTGTTGTTAAGCTCAGGGCCTCGTGTGGTATAGGTACGCAAGGAAGGCTTAGAACGTTCGCCAGGGCCTAACCAATACAACAGCAAAGAGCTGGGCATGAACAATTTGCCTGTTTTTCTCCGCAAGGTTTGGGCTTGTTAGATTTTAAGTGACATCCGACTGCCACGACAAGCCCGCCCACCGACAGAGCCTGCCACAGACCTGTGACGGACAGATGTGACACAACTGGGCAGCTGTGACAGTCTGGCACCAGAGCAGCTGTCAGAGTCCTGGTTAGGATGCTTGCCGGCCGGGCAGCAGGACAGCAGCAGTCAGGGAATGGGAACAGGACAGCTGTGACTAAGACAGGTGAGCCTGAAGGCAGTCCAAAGACTAGCCTTCCGCCAGTAGCCGGGCAAGGACAGCTGTGACAGTCCGAAGCGCGGCGGTCGCTTTACTGAGCGACTCAGTGTACCGCTTACTGCAGGGCTTGGCGCGCTGCCTGTCACGCACGCAAGACAGTGGAGTGGCAGTGGTTTGTAAGGGTCTATAGTTCTTCCTGCTGCTCTAGAACAGCCAGGGATCGGTATATTACATGTCCTTGTGAGAGCTTACGCATTGCGCTGCAGTTACGGTGTATATTGATCAGGCCGCCAAAAGCACATAGCTGTCCACTGATTGTACTGAATAGGGAACCGACCTCGGAAACCAACCACCATCCCTTGCATTCAATGGCGCAGCGCTTGGCGGACTTTGCAGCTGCAAACTCATCACTAGCTGATCAACTCGCACACAGACACAGACACAGACACAGATACAGACACAGACACGACACACACAGACACGACACAGACACAGACACAGACACAGACACAGACACAGACACAGCACACACAGACACGACACAGACACAGACACAGACACAGACACAGACACAGACACAGACACAGACACAGACACACACAGACAC